ACCTAAATGGATCTTTGTTGTGTTGTTATGTGTTGCACCAACTCATAGCTACCCCTCCTTGGGTTTCCCAGACGGTATCACTATGGAAGTAGATTGCTCAACCTTCCTTCTGAGGAGTGGCTGGTGGGTTTGAACCGCCAGCCTTCTGGTTAGCAGTCAAGTGCCTTAGGCACTACACTACCAGAGCTCCTAAGTGGATCTTTAGTGAATCTTTTTTAAAAGTGGATTTTATAACACTTGTAATTTCTTTAATAATAGGAATTTCTCCGTGTGGTACTTAGCAAATAAACTCAGTACATAATAATAGACTACATGTAGAGAATTGCAAACTAATTTTCCTATAAAGAAACAAAAAAACGTATTCCTGCACAGAAACACAGCCTCTATTAGCCTGGATGCTTTTGTGGTCTCAGTGAAAATGCACCCCCCTCTGCGTCTCTCTCTCTCTCTCTCTCTCACACACACACAGAGGAAATAAAATTCGGCATATAAATAATGATAAGGGACAGACTTGTTGTCAGAAGAGATAAAGGGCACTCTGCCTTTGAAGAACTGAAGGTCACCTGTTGAATCATAAAATAAGTAGCTTTTAGGAGAAATTTTTAAAATTGATGTTTTTCATTAAGGTTGGTAAATGTGATGTAACTTAGACCATGGTGTAAATATAAGAAGGGATGCTCTGGTGGTGTAACACCTAAGGCATTTGACTGCTAAGCGGAAGGCTGGCAGTTCAAGTCCCCCAGCCCCTCCTCAGAAGGCCTAGTTCCCAAAAGTGTTGGGCAAGTTTGTAGATGTTAGGCTTACTCTAGAAGTTAAAGACCAAAGGTGCCTCGGGCACAGGCTTATCTTAACGTTTCAAAATGTGTAACCTGGAGAACAGTCACATTCTACCTGGCATTGGTCTCCTCAGACAAAATATCAGGCTGGAAGGACCCTGGTGAGACCTGGTTTTAAAACAGCATAGTGACATGAGAAGGTGGATTGCCTTTCTTGCGGAGGACCTGTCATATCAAGCCCTCAGAACCTCTAAAGCCATTCCAAGAGTTGTGTCTAAAAGGAGAGTTAAATGATTCAGTGTGGGTGTTTCCGAGCGGCAAGGAACGGGTTTTACATGTTTTACTTCCAAGGCAGGCTTTCTCAAGATAAAGTGTTACTTAGTTTTCCAATTTAACTTGCTTTAGACTCAGCATTTTAAATAAACAAGACATCATTAACTGACTTGATTTAACATAGATAATGAAATTTTTTAAAGTGGTCTGCCTTTATGTTTATGTTCAACTGTTGTCTTTAGGTTAGTCAAATTGGCGTATTATTTCTTTTATTTAATTCCCTTCAAGTACCTGAAACTAAAAGCATAAATTATACCTGAGCTATAATGTCAAGGGAGTAGTTATAGCAATAATCTGTTTGTTTGTATTAACCTTCCTCAAATAAACAGATTAAATTATTGGTATTACTTTTATGTTGTTGTTGTTGTTGTTTGCCGTCGAGTCGGCCCCGACTCATAGCGACCCCTCCTTGGGTTTCCGAGGCAGTATCACTATGGAAGTAGGATTGCCCAACCTTCCTTCTGAGGAGTGGCTGGTGGGTTTGAACCGCCAGCCTTCTGGTGAGCAGTCAAGTGCCTTAGGCACTATGCTACCAGAGCTCCTATTACTTTTATAGCAACATAATTTAGCAGTAGTTTTAAAATCTTCATCTGTGACAGTGAAAGTTTGGTTATTGAAATATGTCCCTTGTTAGGGTGATTTTCCTGGAAACTCACACTTGAGTATCCAGTTTATCTTGATTGTGTTCCCATTTCCCTGCATACACATTCAGGCTACGTTGATTTTCGTTGCCGTTTCAAGTTTGTGAACTCTATTTAAAGGGAAAAATAAGTTTCTGCGTATGTGCCGATTAGATTCCTAGCCGTTGAAATAAGATAGTTGCAGTAGTGGGTCACACACTGACAGCTGTGTGCTCCGTATGGCCAATACTAAGTCCATTTTATAAGGAGATTCTGATCCATCTCAATTGTTCTTAAACTTTAGTGCAGATGTGAAAAATACCAGATTCCTTTGCACTACCTCTTGAGATCTGATTCAGTAGGTCTGAAGAGAGGCCCAGGAATCTGTATTTTCAGTACACACCACTGATGATTTTGACAAAGTGTACAGGTCTGTGGGCTGTACTTTGAGGGGGAAAAAAAAAAAAAAAAACACTCCATCAAGTTGATTCCAACTCATGGTAAACCCCATTGGGTTTCTGAAGCAGTAGATCTTTACAGAAGTAGATTGCAACACCCCCCCCCCCCGTCTTCCTTCCGCAGAGTGGTTGGTGGGTTTGAACCGCCAACCTTGTGATTAGCAGTCATATGCCTTAGTTCATCACAAGAGCTGCTTTGTAAAGTTCTGACTAATTAATGCTCTTTCCAAATCATAAGCCCTCTTCTCTTGAAAGTTACCTTACATGAAGGACAAAGCAAAAGTGAAAAAAGGGACTTATGAATTTCACATTTTGGTTTATTTGTTTCTATTTTAAAACACATTTCTACTTTACCTAGTCTCATTGCTCTGACAGGAAGAGCAAGAGATTTGGAGGAAAGGAATGCAAACCGGAAAGGTAAAACTGGGCCCATCCCTGACCAGTATGACTGAGGGGGAATTTGTGCGAAAACGTGGAATTTCTGAGACATTTAAAAATAGTCCTTCTCCTTAATAACCTGTCAGAGAGCCCAGTTGTTCATGGATCCAGAGAAAGATCAGAAAGATCGAGAGGGAGTGTGCCAGCTGGAGGAGGGGACGGAGGAGCGTAGGCCCGGCTAGTCTGTAGCAGATGATACAAAAGTCGGTGGAAGAGTGAAGGGCAGTCTTTATGTGATGGTGCAGAAGCTTGTGAGTGTAGATAAAAATGAAAACCTGAGGTGCAGGGATGCATGGGGAACTTTTTGAGCTGGTTGAGGGGCTGGAGAATCAATAGCATTTTTACTTTCCACACAGGCTCTCTCCTCCTCACAATAATCTCGCACTGAGGCGTTTTCAGCCTTGGTTAACAGAGACTTGTTAGTTAACAGGCGAACAGGCTGGTTAGTAGGTGGCAGAGGCAGGCTGTCAGTCGAGGTCCAGCTGGCTTCAAAGCCCATGGTCTTTCTGTTCTCCCATCTTTGTTTTATTTTGATCTAGAATTAAAATGAACAAGCAAACAGCACAGAACAACAGCAGACCCATTGCTGGCCAGTCGATTCTGACTTACATTTTAGAGTCCACTGAGTTTTTGATGGCCACAGTCTTATGGAAGGAGGTCGCCAGGCCGTTTACGCCTACACTGGGTGGATTCACGTTGCCAACTTTTTGGTTAGCAGCCAAGTGCAAAGCATCCAGAATTGAGCACCTAGAATTAAAAACAAAAACAAACTCACTGCCGTGGAGTTAGATGCAACTCATAGCGACCCCTCCTTGGGTTTCTGAGGCAGTTAGCCCTAACCCTAGAATTAAGTGGGGCTAAGTATCGTTGGCAGTGCTGTGTTATAGGCATGGAGCAAAACCAGGGCAGGAGTGCACCTGACTCTCCTTATCAAACACGGCAAAGAACAAACTGGGTTAAGATCGCTGAACCTGTGCCATGTTCTGGATTCAGACCAGCTGGAGCTCAGAGTGTCTAACCCACCCAGTAGCTGTGTGACTTTGGCTAAGTTATTTGAGCTCTCAAAGCTTTAGTATATGCTCACTTTTTGAAAAATAGAGATGATAATGTTGTGTGGCTTCAAAGATTACAGTGAGGATTGAATGTGTTGATGCATGTGGTGCATGTAACATTCTCAGCCCAGTGCTTGGTGCAGAGTAGCTACTGCATACATGTTACTTATTAGCTCTAGACAGAGGCTGCGTTTGACGAGATTTCACAAATCAGTGCAGATTGAGCAATAAGAATTATCGATTGACACTGTGAGTGTTTGTGTCATGTGTTTTCCTTTCAGAGGGCTGGAGGTGACTTCTAGGTCTTCAAACCTAGGACTCAATTTCACCCTCATTCTAATTCTTTTTAGGGCCAATATTAATAACTAGGAAGGCTTATGCAATAGATTCTGAGTACTTCAGGCAAAAATTTAGAAAGCTTTTCTGCTATAAAACTTGTCACTGTTTAATAAAACTACATCTACTTCCTTACCATTGAATTGTTTTATCTAACAGCTCTGGCTAGTTGTAGATATATTGTCAAGGATTGTTTTTGCATGGATGCAAATATGGGTCCATGTCCCTTAACATCCATTCTGGCAGTGTCCACTGCATATACATCTTGTTGTGTTGCTGTTTTTACGTGCTGTTGAGTCCGACCCGACTCATAGCGATCCCTCCTTGGGTTTCTGAGGCAGTATCACTACGGAAGTAGATTGCCCCATCTTCCTTCTGAGGAGTGGCTGGTGGGTTTGAACCACCAGCCTTCTGTTTAGCAGTCAAATGCCTTAGCCACTATGCTACCAGAGCTCCCTGCATATATGTCTATGGTCCCATAAGTTTTTTTTTTTTTTAAGGGAAAGCAGCTCTCCTTTGATTATTTCTTCTTAATGATTTTAAAGACCCCAAATCCCCAGACTGATGGGGCAGCGGGGCTCCAGGGCACATCTCAATCCCTGAAGAGCCTTTTCCTCTGCCTCCTCCTTCTCTTCCTTCCAGCTTCATTCACTCACCCAACAGCCACGCAGCCTTTTACTCGAAGTGCAGGGCAGCGACTGCTCACGGTCAGGAAGCAGTTGCACCAACAGGGTAGTGGCAGCCAAGGCTAGCTAAAAAATAAGGGGATAAAAGCATTATCGAGTATTAGTATATTAATGTCCCCATGTGAACTGCCTATTCTTCCTCTAAAATGTGGAGATGTTTAAGTATTATCAAGAGTAAAATTGTCCCTTCACCCAAATGTAATTAGTGGAAAGAAGAAAAAAAAAGTTCTTGATACTTCAATGTGTAGTTTTTGTATTTGGCTTCTCTGTCTTGCTCAATACTGTTTCTTTTTGTTTGTAGCGTGGGGACGAGCTGCAGCCGCCATGCTCTTCTGCGGCTTCATCATCCTGGTCATCTGTTTCATCCTCTCTTTCTTTGCCCTCTGTGGACCCCAGATGCTCATCTTCCTGAGAGTCATTGGAGGCCTCCTTGCCCTGGCTGGTAAGACTGTCAGGATTCTTCATTCATACCTTCAGTGGAAATTGATATAGCAGTTTTCCACTGCACAAGGAAGATCCATGTCAGCTACGTGATCTGCTCACAGGAAGTCTAGCAGAAGTCCAGCTTCAGGATGTGGGGCACAAAGGCAAGGGGAGAGAGATAGTTGTAACTTGGGAGAGATGTGTTTTAAGATCTGGATCCTTTCTGCCTTGTGCTTCAGACAGTATTATATCCTCCTGAGGAAGCTTATTACTCTGGGTGCTCCGGTCTCTCTTTGGTTACCCCTGTCCTGGGGCACCTGTCCTGGGCTGTGTCAGCCTTAGAATCCAGTGCTCTCCATAGTGACCCACAGGGCTGGCCTCGGGTGAGGGGTCTGCACTTGCCTGTCCTCCCTACTTGGCCCTGAGCAGCCCCATGCTGAGGAGATTGGAATGTCCCTGAGTCTTTTCACTTGTTGAAAAGAGTGATGTGATCTTATGATATGATGGGGCATGAAAGGATTTGGCAGAGGGATGGAGCAGGAACCAGATCTGGAATTGCACCATCCACCAGGATAAAACCAGTCCTGGGAGATGATCTAGATACAGGCCATATGAAGAAATTTAGTTATGCAGGTGGGTGGGACTTCAATCAAGTTGGCTCATAGTGAACATTTATCAGTGGATTACCAGAACTAAGAACCTAGGAGCAAGAATTATTTGGAATTTTTGGTGAGCAACTAGCACTGGGGAAGTCTCTCAAAGTGGGAAGGGTCCTGGCCACAGAGCTTAACTCAGATGCAAAATGAGATTCCCCAAGATGTGGAAGAGAGAAGGTGCCAACAAGGGCAAAGTGAGGCCCGGGCACCAGGTCGTTCCTTGGGATAGGAACTTAGGGTCACAGGACCAAAGCAGAAGGCCAGCTTTAGGGCATGGGGTACAAAGACAAAGTGGGCAGCTGCTCTTGGGGACCAGTCAGAAGCCCTCTGACTAAAAGAGGTCCATAAGATTAGGCATGGCCAGAAGGAAGACCACTTTGTGCTGGGTTTTCCAAGTTTAGAAAATTAAGTTCCCAGAGCCCACAGCCAGATAAGTAAGGGCTCAGGAGGTCCTGGTTAAAGGAGGGGGCCACAGAGGACCAGGTCAGTGCAGAGGCAGCCCTAGCCTTTATGGCACATTTAAAATTTTCTCTCAATTAAAAATAATGTTTCCTCCAGTGTTCCTCATGTTTCCAAGTTTGCCTTTTGAATAAGATTTAAAAATCAGAAATGACTTGGGATCACAAGAGATGAAGAACCTCACTGAATCTTGTCTCCATTTTAGTTGGCTTTTGTAGTTGAAATTTGTAAGATCTTATCAAAGAAACACGTTTGGTGTGTCTTCATTTCGTATGTCTTAGAAAACTATATTGAAGCCTGTTTGAATTGCCTTAGAAGGAATACACTAGGACATTCATGTTCATGCAAAATCCTAGGAAAACTTTTGTCTGTTGCTTCCTTTTAGCATTAAAATAGTAAGAGCTGTAAGTCATCTCAAGCTGACAGAGTAGCAGGAGGTATGGTCGTAAAGAAAGCTAGTGCGAGTGATCTTCAACAGATTGACAGCTTAAATTTGTATAGGTTTTTACATTTTATAGTTTATATAAAATGTTTCATTCTCATTCCCTCCATTAAAGAGTTTGACAAGTAGAATATAAAATGTATATATGTTTCAAAAAAAAAACAAAGCCCAAACTCACTGCGGTTGAGTTAATTGCGACTCATAGTGACCCCTCCTTGGGTTTTTGAGGCAGTGTCACTACGGAAGTAGATTGCCCACCCTTCCTTCCGAGGAGTGACTGGTGGGTTTGAACTGCCAACCTTCTGATTAGCAGTCAAGTGCCTTAGGGACTATGCTACCAGAGCCCCTATATACATATGTGTGTGTGTGTGTGTGTGTGTGTGTGTGTGTTTATTACTGGGTTAAATTCAGAAAAATTAAGCACTGATACAATTCAGATTTTGCAGAAATAGATCCAAACCATTAGTCTACCTGTATAAACCCATTGCCATGAAGTTGATTCTGACTCACAGCAACCCATAGGACCTGTACAGTGGCCCCATAGGGTTTCCGAGGCAGAAAATCTTATGGAAGCAGACTGCCACATCTTTTTCCAAAGAGCAGCTGGTATGTTTGAACTGCCAGCCATTTAGTTAGCAGCTGAGTGCTGACCCACAGCATTGCCAGGGCTCCGTTGGCATTGTTTAGGTGCATTGAAAGGAGCCTTGATGGTACAGTGGTTGAGCACTAGGCTGCTAACCAAAAGGTCGGCAATTCCATCTCACCAGTGGCTCCAAAGGAGAAAAATGACCTAGCAGTCTGTTCCTATAAAGATTATAGCCTGGGAAATGGGGCAGTTCTACAATGAGTAGAAATCAGTTTGATGGTGCCCAACAACAGCAGGTGGATTTAACAGTTAGGAACAGCAGAAGCAGTTGTGGAAGAGGGAGTGGATCTGTTATTACCAGGCATTTCTTCGTTCATGCAGTCATACTTTCAGATTGTCTTCCCCTTTAGCTGTATTCCAGATCATCTCTCTGGTAATCTACCCAGTGAAGTACACCCAGGAATTTGATCTTCACCTTAACCCTGCTGTCACCTACATCTATAACTGGGCCTACGGCTTCGGCTGGGCAGCCACAATCATCCTCATCGGCTGTGCCTTCTTCTTCTGCTGCCTCCCCAACTACGAAGACGACCTGCTGGGCAATGCCAAGCCCAGGTACTTCTACACATCCGCCTAACGTGGGGACGAGAGCAGTAGAGCCGTCACTGCCGAGGTGGATTCCAGAGAAGGAGGCTGTTTTCCCCGGATGACTTTGAACCTATGTTTGGCAGTGACATCAAACTGTTCATGTTACTAAACTAGTAAAAAATGCTAAAGTCAATTGAGAGAAAGTATTTCCTAAATGATGTTATAGTTTCATATTCATCTTTTTATATATGTTTTATGGAGTTAAATAAGACTTCCTTCTTTTAACTAATTACCTACCATATATCAATATTGCCTTATATGTATTCATAACATTTATATTGTATTTGTAAAAGACTATGAATATGAAATCTACCATTTTGTACTGTAAACATGAAGAGATTCCAAATTTTCGGTAACCTGATTGAGTTACTGTTTTTCCCACGCTGACTAGACTGGGCTTACAAAGGGCTCAGGAGGAGAGAGAGAGAGATTGGTTAAAATTGTCATTGGCCAAACATTCTAAAAGAAATGCAAAAAAATAAAGATTTTTTCCAGTCTTCAGTTATTTCATAAAGAATAATAATTTCCTAAATGCATATCATTTATGAGAATTTCTGATTAATATTCTGAGTCACTGAATTTTTTAAACATTGACTTGATATGTTATCTGGGAAAGTATTCATAAGGCCAAACCCTGTTGCAGTACGAAAACTTCCCTTGGGAGTAAGACGTTAAGATGAGCTTTTCTCTTTTAAAGTGGTTTGTAGGGTTGGGGTATGGGAAAGTGCTTTATTAATAAATCTACACTGTTTTGTGTCTATATGTTCATGGTCAGAATAGCTGGGTTGAAAGATGGGCTTGGTCGAATTCATTATGACTGATAGATATGATCAGGTTGTGCAGTGAAGCATTACTTTGCAAAACTGGCACAAAGGTGTAGTTTCAACAGTCTGAGGAAAATAAATCACTTGCATTTTTCATCTCAGGTTTGACTTGGCTCTAATCATATAGACACAACTTCTGATAGATAGCATCTGTAGGCAGAAACCTAAATATAATTAAAAACCTGGTCTTCTTGGCAAACAGATTTAAAATATATGATGTAAAGTGTGCAACAGGGGTGTGTAGTATCTCTGGCAAATATATGGTATGTCGGCTTTATTATTATTGGTCTTTTTTATCATTTGTACTAAAGGCACATAATGAAAGCTAAGTTATTTTTATACCAAATTATTATTTTGTAAGTTGCAGGATAAGCAATTACAAATAGTTTTCATTATGAATTTTCCCCAATAAACCAGGTATTCCAATCTTGTTTCTATTTAACAGTTTTTTATTATTGTTATTTTTATCTGGGGAAGGGAATTTTTAAAATATGCTGTGAGTGGGTTGCATGAACAATGGATAAAATTAAGAGCTGCTTTTTCTCAGACTTAAGAGTCTTGCTTATTTTAGGTGCCCAATAACAAGTTTTTGAGTGAACATTGATGAGTTCTAGTCATCTACTCCCAGAGCTTTGTCCTTACTGAGCAGTGCCCCTACACAGATATCAAACAATATCTCTTCAGTGCTGCCACTAACGGCAAATGGACTGAAGGGTTTGGGGTAGGTCCAGATACCCCAGGGAACGTTTGTGTTACTCACCTCAGAGGTCATCCCTCTCTCATCTGCCACTGCCCAGCCTTGTCCTTGTGATGGGATCCTCTTCTGTTCAGGTGGTGGGTAGAGCAGTCTCTTCTTTTTGCCTCTTTCACCTTCCCACTTGATAGTGTTTTTGTACCATTGGTCTTAGGTTAATTCTACTTTGGTGTAAAAACGCACAGGTCCCTGAGTGGTATAAATGGTTAACATGTTCATCTGCTAACCAAAAGGTGGGAGGTTCAAGTCTATCTAGAGGCACCTCAGAAGAAAGGCCTGGAGATACACTTCCAAAAAAACCCGCCACATTAGCCATTGAAAACTCTGTAGAGGATGGCTGTACTGTGACACATATCAAGTCACCATGAATTGGAGTCAACTTTGTGATGATATATATATTCATACATATATGTGGGAGCTCTGGTAGCATAGTGCCTAAGGCACTTGACTGCTAACCAGAAGGCTGGCGGTTCAAACCCACCAGCCACTCCTCGGAAGGAAGGTTGGGCAATCCTACTTTCGTAGTGATACTGCCTTGGAAACCCAAGGAGGGGTCGCTATGAGTCAGGCAGACTTGATGGCATATAACAACAACAACAACATATGTGGTGTATATATATGTCTGGATGTATATATGTGTGTGTGTGTGTATGTGTCTGTATATGTGTGTATATGTCTGGATATGTGTGTGTGTGTGTGTATGTGTCTGTATGTATATGTGTGTATATGTCTGGATATGTGTGTGTGTATGTATCTGTATGTGTGTGTTTATGTATGTATATGTGTGTATAAAAATGGGAAGAAGGGTTGCATGGTAGGATGATAAATATGTGTCCCCTCAGTGCTTCCCTTGGCTAGTTCATCCTTGGCAGTGAATTTTTCTTGTGTGCCATTGTAGAATACCACATGAATGTTCCCTTCATAAATTCAGAGGAATGTAGTTTGGATGATTATTCATATCAGAATTAAATATATATATGTATGTATCCTGTGACTGGTAGAAGATTTAATGGGATAACAATGATAAACATGCCATCTTCTAAAGTAATAGCGCAACTAATTTTTTAAAATCATGGATATCTAGATATTAAGATTGGGTTTCCCATTGTACATGACAAGAATTCTCAGAATACAAGCCTCTCTAAAGCATGGATCCTTGCCTATGAATTTTTTCCCATCTCTCCAACTTTTCTTCTCCTTCTCAATCAACAACACACTATATGCTATGGATGCAAATTTAGAAAAAGTGACACAGCTTCCCAGGACCAATGAGCTCACAGAAGCATTTCAACCTGAGAAGCCAAGCCTCATTCAATTGGCTGGAATGTTGAACTCCCTTCAGCCTTGTCCAAATGTAGAGATCCTCTATCCCTGTTGCTGTAGATTCAGCAGGACAAAACCACCAGTTGCTGTCAAGTTGACTCCAATTCATAGTGACCAGCTGTGTGTCAGAGTGGACCTCTGCTTCACAGGCTTTTCAATGACTGATTTTTTCTGAAGTAGATTGTCGGCCCTCTCGTCTGAGGTCCCTCTGGGTGGCTGGAGCTGCCAGGCGTTTGGTCAGCAGCCAAGCTGTTAACTATTTGCACCACCCAGGGACTCCTGTGTCATAAACAGAAGGAAAATCCCAGAGATCCTGGAGAGCCATGAAGAATTTGAGAAACTGAAGACTAACTGCATTGCATTGGATTGGTAAACCTGAGGTGGCTCTGTAATTATTTTGAGTCCCCACCCTTTGCCCTTCCTTTTGAATAAGCAGTTCTAGGTTCTCACACAATTATCTCACGCTCACACTACAAGTAGCCAGATAGGCTAAATGCCATTTACAGTTGAACAAAACAAAGAGCTAATATGTCAAGGTCTTTCAGTGGTCTCAATAGTTGTAGAGTATAATTATTCTTAGGTTCAAATGACGTACTCCAGGACTGACAATAAATCTGCTAGGCTTCCCTTTTATAAAGGAATGGAAACAATGGAAGGATATGTCATAATAAATAGGCAGAATTTTGCTATGAACTCCCACTGAGAGACTTCCCTCAGTACAATAGACGTCAATGCTGAGTTGACTTGTTTTGCTTTTTTTCTGGACAAACCTGAAGAAGGCAGAGCTGAGTCCCCTCCCAGGTGTGGCTCTTCTAGCTGCTTAGCCCTGGGCAATTCACCTCCCCACTTTCCCTCAGTACCTTCATCTGTAAAATGATTGCAAAATTTCCTGCTTCATGCCTTTGTCTATGTATCTGTTCATTTGTTAATTATTCAAATATGTTGAGAAAGGGAAAAAGAGTAAGGTGATGCTGTAAGTGTCTTTGTGTTTCTCACATTTATTTTCTTAACTAGAGCCAAAACCTTAATATTGTCATCAGAATTTTTCTTTAATTAAAATAAAAATTTCTTAGTTGGAAGAGCTGCTGAATAAGTGGATGTTGACTCTACTGTGAGCTTCAGTAACCATAAATCTTGGAAGAAAAGCCTTTTTTGTATCCTAAGGAGCTTCTGATTCTAAATGGTAGAGTGTGGTTGTTGTTAAGTGCCGTCGAGTCGGACCCGACTCATGGTGACCCCTCTTTGGGTTTCCGAGGCAGTATCACTATGGAAGTACATTGCTCAACTTTCCTTCCGAGCAGTGGCTGGTGGGTTTGAAACCACCAGCCTTCTGGTTAGCAGTCAAGTGCCTTAGGCACTACGCTACCAGAGATCCCTAATGGTAGTGGAAGCTATTAAAGACATTGTTTCTGACCAGTTTAGAAAAAAAAGTAGACTAGTAAATACAAGACGGAATATCCATAACAACAGAGGGATGTATTGGCTGGCCAGAGATTTTGGAAGATGGAAAACGAATGGCATTGTCAATAGTGCAGAGTGGCTGCCACCCAGAACAAACTCAAGAGTCAGCTGCTGGCCAAGTTCTAACTGTGCTTCTTGATAAGTGCCAGAGAGCTGCCAAGCTAGGACTTGTCAGGGAAGAGAGTGGGAATGTGAAGCGGGGAGGATAGAAAGCAGGGGGATTGTATAGAGGTCTGTTCCATGAAGAGTTTGCCACTTGGCCTGGCCTCCTCTTCCTCCCACTGCACTCCCATCCCAGACTTACAGAGCAGAATGACTGGTGCAAGGTGATGAGATCATGATGATAGGAATAATGAGAAAGCAAAAAAAAAAAAACAAAAACAAACTCACTGCCATCGAGTCAATTCCAACTCATAGCGACCCCCTTTGGGTTTCCAAGGAGGTAAATCTTTACGGAAGTGGATTGCCTGGTCTTCCTTCCATGGAGTGGCTGATGGGTTTGAACTGCCAATCTTCTGGCTAGCAGTCAAATGCCTTAGGCACTACGCCACCAGAGCTATAGCAATACTAAAAACACTGCTTACTAAGTCACAGGTTGTGCTTCACAGGTATTAACCCACGTGAACG